GCAAACTTAATTATCTGACCTCATAATTGCCAGACCTTGTGTGTCAAAATGTTGGGAAGTGACATGAAGGCAAATGAAGCAAGGGACAGACAGAGTGATGGGGATGCTCTTTCAGGCATAGGAACCAAGGGTACCCTTTATTAGAGATGCCATTTGAGCAGAGACCTGAAGCAGCAGTGCCTGGAGGACAAGTGATGATGGCAGAAGGAACAGCTGAGGCAGAGCCCTGAGACTGGAAGTTTCATGTCAGGAAGACAAGAAGGCTAGGGTGACCGGGGCAGAGATGGGTGGAAGTAGGACATGAAGTTGGGGAGGATGGCGGGTCAGATCAAGTAGGGCCTCTGCAAGGGGGTGGTTTATTTTAGGACAATGAAGGGCTCTCAGTAGGGCGGTAACCTGTGAGTAAGTGTACCAGCCCTTGCAGGCTCATGTGGACAGTGGTTTGTCAGCTGTGACTATGCTACAGATGGGCATTGCCACAATTGCCTGTCTGCAACATCCCTAAGCTGAGCTCCTCTGGGACACCTCTGATCACCTTTGCTAGGACCCCAGTCAGCCCAATGCTTAGCCCAGAGTAGGAGTTTCCTCAATGTTTATTGGAAAAAGGAAAGGATGAAAGGAAAAGGAGAGAAGGGTGGAAGAGGAGGGGAGGAGGGTAGGGTGAAGGTAGAGAGGGAAGAGGATCTTTTCTCACTGACCATGAGACATGAGCCTAGTCACCAGCAGGGTTCACAGGAAGTATGGACTTCTCGTTGGGGTTTCTCCTTAGAGGCCTGGGCTCATCCAAGCTGGGAGATTTCAGGCAGGTGCCTGGAGCCCTGTTCATAGCTTTCCTGCAGGGCCAGTTTATGTCCCAACCTTTTATGACAGGGTTGGCCTGTCTCCAACTCAACAGTTCCCAGCAGGGCGGGTCTTCATGCAGCAGGCTACCTAGTGTGGGTTAGCTCCCTGTGGCCAAAGATGTTCAGCCAAATGGAGGAAGGATGTCTGCCCTGAGTACAATCAATGGGGCTGGAAGGTTCCTCCCCCTCTGACTCTACAAGCATGCTCTCCGGTCCTCCATCGTAAAGGCAGGACAGCATTGGCTGTGCTCCTTCTTGCAGAAAGAACCTCCAGGGAAAGCCAGTCCTCTTGCCATGCAGGGAGCAAACCTCCCAGCACCTTCATTTAGGCTACACCCACCTCAGGCCAAAGTTGCTGTCCCTGCTGTAGTGGACACAGGTGTCCTTTATACCCCATCTCGTCCTTTAGTTTATCACTGGAAGGGGGGCTGAGATGCTTTTCTCTGGGAGCCCCACTTCTGCTCCTCTGGTCTCCCTTTTCCTCCTTGCTGAGGGCCACAGGTTTCCAATCCTGAGATGCTTGCATCCTGCTGGGATGGGACAGATCTTTGTCTTAGCACCACTTCAGTGTTCTCGGGCAAGGAATCTGCTAGCAGAACAATAGCGTTAAGACTCGAACTGGATAAGAGAAAAACATTTTATCTGCTGTGTTGGCTGGGCCACAACTCAAATATTTGGATCATTCAGTAGGAGGAGCCTGAGTTGACGTTGACGGAGAAGGAGCTCGCTCTGCCAGCCCTGGTCCTTTGGTGAAAGGGACAGGGAACCACATGTGGGGGCTCCTCCTTTGGGTCTGCACATTACATATGCTATTTATTTAATCCT